TGTGTGTGTACATGTATGTAGGTGTATGTGTGTGTTCGTGTGTATGTGTGTGTTGACATGCCAGTGGTCTCACCTCTGAGCAGTGGTCAGTCATCAGCACATGGACCCCCTCCTTAGCTGCCCGATGCGGCCGGATTGGCTGCCCGTGAGGCCCGGGAACGAACCACATACAGCCGTTATCAACTGTCGCGTCATCAAGGGCAACCTGGGAAGGTGGGGGGTCCAGGACCATTTAACATTGTTAAGCTGACAACCCGTACATAAATGAAAGCCCAACAAAAACGTGCATGTCAAAATCTGCTTAAAGAAGCCTAAGCCTCTGCTTAGAGAGGTTTTTTTTTTCTTTAAAAAAATTGCAACCGGTTTATCTTAAATGATACACACGACACAACTGGATGCTCAGTGTTGTGACATTTGGATAAATGTTGAATCAAAGCGGTAAAGGGCCGCTGCAGACCCTTGTATTTGTACCGTCCTCACCCAACAGGAGACGGCTCGCTTGTCCGGCATGTCGGGCCAGTAAGCCTCGTCCTGGTGCCAGGGGGTGCAGGTGTTCGTCTGGGGAGCCTGGAAACAGATAAGAAAAGTTTAATTAAAGTAAGAAATGTTTGCAACTTTTCTCTTTGTAGAAACTATGTGCTTGCAACACTCATTTTTTGGTCCTAATAGAATGTTTGGATTGGTAAAAAGAGAAAATAGCAGACTTTATAGTTATTTTTCTGCTAGACTTGCAGGAAAATCTTTGTGGAGGCTTTCTTAATTTTGGATCGGATGAGATCCAAATAATGTAGCCTTGAATAATGTAGAGCCCACACTTGCCAAGATGCACAAATATAAAGATGTTTTACGATCGCCGCCCTTTTACTACAAAATTGCGTAGATACGACGTGCCTTGTAGATCAGCATGTCGAAATCAAAGGCCATGTCCTCTCCCAACAGCAGTCCTGCGATGGCCTCTGCACGTGCGTGAATGGGGCCCTGTAAAAAAGTTGTGCGCGTACATTGTTGCAACTTTGCAACTCTAGCATTCATTTCAGCTTTGCACTAGTAGAATTCTGTATTATCTGTAGAAACGAAGTTCGCCTGAAATTGTTATGTCATGAAATAATACAAGATTTTATGCACATTATGCACATCCCAAAACGGGAGACACTTCTTAGCGTCCATGGCAGACTACAAGTCAGGCTTTTACGGGGAACAAACTGAGTACTAAAATAAAACAGATGCCACTGGGAAAAAACACATTATAAGTACGCAAGATCTTCGCTCAAAGTGCCTATGGAAGATAGCCTGGGTGCCTTCCCCAGTAGTATTCACCTGCTAACTTACAACTGGGGATGGCACCCAGGCTATATGGAGGATGCTATACAAGGGTATTAAGCAGGAAACCTCAGACTGAGGCTATTTCATAGTTCTTTTTCCTGCATTCCTTAATTATCAGCTGTGTTCTAAATATGTGATGAACAAAAGTATACATAAACATTTGACGACTCACCCCGTCCAGGTTGTGAACGTAAGAACTCGGCCACATTATCTGGCAGATGTTCTCCACATTCGGCTGTTTTCTCTTGTCTGTACGGAGCAGAACAAATGTGTATAAACCATTGGAAACTACCAGGTATAATATAGATGTCTTATAGCATAGTTACAGCCTTAAAAAATACGCCATCAATCCTAAAGATGTGAAGTAAGCTTTTAATGCGAGCTTCTCGCTTGATTGGCTTTTCACAATCATTAATACGTTAGTGATGACAAAACACAGTCATCTTCAACAGCAGGACTCCCCAAACTATAACCTATTAAGCTATCAAAAACAGTAAAACGCACTTCCAAAATTGTCTCCAACATTGTCTAAACTATATAATCCTTCACGAATCACTTAGTAGGGTGAACTCAGTTCAAAACATATTCTGTATCCGTGAAGGCTATTGGGTCTAAGTACTAGTAACTCTGATCTCCCAAACTTACCACAACATTGACAGAGCCAGTCATGTGTGCAATTTGACCCCTGCATGCCCTTAAGGGTTGTGTACTTGCTTACAGGTGCATTCACACAGGTGTAATGGATCATGCACAGGTATTCAGTAAGGGGGTCTTTCATTTGTGCAGAAAAGATTTGTTTAAAAATCATAGTTTTACAAAACAGAGGTCTGTTGGGTGAATCTCTGATGCATTTACTGAATATTCCAGGTTAACTTTTCACGTATGGAAAGGGGTTACCATGAAAATACTGTAGGCAGCCAGACTAACCAAGAAAAGGCACTCAGTAAACTGAAGAGTTCATGGCAAAAGTAACCAATGAGCGAGGCTGTCACAAGTGTCAGTGTCCATATACTTAAGCCAGAGATGCCGCCATTTTAGGCAGGCAGTCACGGAAACAGTTCTTGTCTTTCGGAAAGGTAAGCTGGCATTTTATCGTCAGTTACGCAGATGTTAGCATATCACAGTATTGCTTATACGCTTAACAATGATATTGTAAAAATCTACATTGGAAAGATGTCAAGCTTTAACTTTTAAGATCAACAATTTAGTTTTAACTTCCAGGTGCTATGTAAATTGTTTGACTTACTCCTAGTACATGTGCATGAGCTTTTGCTGTCAACACTGCTTTGTCAGTCATCAAATATTGTAAGCTGCATCTGTTTTTTTTTCAACAGTACTGTGATGTACGCATTTTGACATCAACTGGACAGCAAATGTGTTTGCAACATGCCTAAACAAGGTGAGTTCATGCATGATTGAACCATGAACAGTGTTAGCTTGCCAATGTTTCTAAAGAATGCAGTCATGACAATTTGGTGTTGGGGGCAGATCTCTTCTTTGAATGTTTAGTAAAAGGATTATACTTCGTAGGATATTAAATTGACACATTTATGTATTTATTGTTATACCGGTATGTGTGGTCTGAGCATAATAATATGCTTCCCCATACTTCTTACAGTTACAGTTTTATTAGCAAATTCACCCTCGCAGCATGAGGTACATGTACAACAAGATGAATTGCACTGATTTGTACAATAGTATATTGTACAAATAATACAATAGTAACAGAACATCTACTTACATACAAAAAAGAAAACTCAGGCAACACTACATGCCTAACTATGGCCACAAATTGTATCTGTTTCCTTTCTGACAGGTGTGAAGAAGTATTTCTTCTTCATAAAGAAGCAGGTGAGCGCAGACTGGAAGGACCTGGCTGAGTGTCTTGATTTTGAGACACCAGACATAGAAAACATTGAAGGCAAACGGCGGGATGACAAGTCTCGCTGTATGGAACTACTGCAGGAATGGCAGAAGCGGAAGGGAAACGCAGCCACCATACATGTGCTGATGGAGGCTCTACAAGAGGCAGAGTTACAGCATGTTGTGGACAGTCTGAAGGATAGATATCCAGGTACGAGACTCTCAGACTAAAACAAACAGACTGAAACAAAATTCTTTCTGCGTCATATAAATATGATTTTTTTTACATAATAAGCTACTAGTATTCACATTTCCCAAAATCAAGCACAACATATTTCAAGAGACTAGATGCTAAAGCCAGATTTGAATATATCTTACTCTGTGAAAATATTAAATATATTTAAAAGTTAAGATTTGCTTTTTAAAAAAAGAAACTTATGACTGGCCCCAATTGACTACAGCAGTATTTTGATCGCTCCTCCCTTTTGTATCCACCACCAGAACTGCACAGTCCAGCCCCTACAGTTCTTCCTGTGCAACTACAGCTGGGCCTGGGGCCACAAATGTCTGTTCAGGGGGGCATCAGTAGAGAACGAGAGGAACAACTCTTGGCACGTATTTTGGAACTGGAGCGTACACTGTTTACTGCAGATGTGTTAATGGATGACGATCGCCGCAAAAAAGCAGAACAGGTCTTGCTGTCACACAAGGCTTTCCTAACGGGTCTCCTTAGTGGGTCTGTCATCCTCCTCCTGACGTTCCTGCGCCAGACTGATGTGGACAGGTTTTACCACAACCACTACAGGGTGGGGGAGGGAACCCTGTCTCAACAACTCTCACACATCCTCATCTCAGACGACCTACAGGACAAGGTCAAGGGCACCCAGCTGATCGTGAGGCTCCAGGTGAAGCATGAAGACTATGTGCAAGTACGAGACAGAATGGGGCAAGGTGAGAACTTCATTGGCAGCTTATATGATGCTAGTTTGGCAGACAGATGACTACATACATTTGCCAATAATTGATTAACCTCAGCACAGATTCTGCCAACAATAACATGAAAGTAGAATTTCAAAAATGTCTGATGTCTTTTGCTGTGGCCTTATATTTTTGTAAGGCAGACAGATTCATACTTCATTTGAAAGGAGCTACATTTGCCAGTAATCTCTACAAAATCTCTGCCAATATGACAGAAAAATGTTTCTGTTTTTTTTTTGTTTTAATTCATAAATCAAAAGTACATAGATACACATATACATGACAGTGAGATGTTTATATGGTGTAAAATATCCGATACTGTAGTACTATTAAACTCCATGATTCCTTATGAACAGGACTGGACCGTACCACTTCTGTGAACAACCTGCTGGCCCTGTCACCCCCCAGCAGACATGTGGACCGTTCCAGCATGAGAGGCCTAGACCTAGCCGTGATTGGTCGAAAGTACAGAGACCTGGCTGTGATTGGTCGAGATGATACTGATGACATCACCATGCCGTACAGACAAGTACAGTCAGCCGTACGAACAGCAAGAGAGAAATCCAAACAAGAGGTGAAAGTTCAGATTGAGACGATGCAGAGGCAGGTGGAGATAGGTAGGATTGGAGTAGATGCCATGAGGAAAGAGGTAAAGATGCTGATAGAGAAAAACGAGAAAGCTGAGAAAATCCTCCTGGAGCAGAAGGCAGCAACAAGAGAGGAAATACAGCAGCTTCAGGAGACCAACAGGAGTCTGGAAGCCAGAATAGAAGCGCTGCT